ACTACAGGCGCCTGCCCCGACACAGGGCTATTTTTAGAGACAGGTCCTTGTTCTTACTCAGGTTGGTTTCAAACTCCTGAGCTCAAGCATTCCACCTGCCTCAGCTTCCCAGAGTGCTGGGATTGCAGGCCTGAGCCGCTGTTTCTTAGGTTTTGTGATAAGCATTTGCAGCTCCAAGTTTCACCCTCAGCGCCGCCTCTGCTTCATCTCACAAGTTTGGGTGTGCTGTGTTTGCATTTTCATTTGTCTCTAAGTTCCTTCTGATTTCACTTGTGATTTCTTCTTTGATCCTGTGGTTGTTTTAAGAGCTTGTTGTTTAATTTCCACATATTTGTGGATTTTCCAGGTTTCTTTCTGTTGATTTTTAACTTCCTCCTGTTGTGGTAGGAGAAGCTATTTTGTATGATAACTGTTTTAGTAAATCTATTGAGACTTAGTTTGTGGCCTAATGTGTAGTCTATTCTGTGAAAGTATAACTAGATGACTTTATAGACTTTAAGCAGGATACATCTCTTAATTTTATTGTAGAACTTTAGAAGTAAGTATGTAACTTTAGGTATCATTTTTAATATCTCATTACATTTTGAAATGGTATCAAAATTTTTATGATAGTGAAGGAGATTATTATTTATGAAATATCGAACCAGTGACCTTAGCTATTCTGTTATGATAAAAGGCCCAATCTAACCTTTTATTGAATGTAATATTTATTAAAAATGAAACTTCTTGTTTCCATTACTTAATCAATAGTATATTAAGCCATTTATTAATATGATTAGAGAAAGTCTTGCAGACTACATATTCTATTTCCTTGTCATCTAGTTTAATTTTAATAACCAGGAAATAGCATTCTAATGCAGAGTCAGTCAAATCTGTCTAATCCCGTGTTTGTAACTTTTATATGATGCAGAAAAGAGCAATTAAAATTTGCAGAAGGAGAATAATCAGTACTGGCTGTTTAAAAAAGAGCAAGCCCCTTTACATTGTCACATAAATTAACTTACGTGGAGAAGAAATATTTTATTTTCCCATTATTTACTGTTACTTGGTACAGGTGTTATGTCGGTAAATACAGCAGGAAATGTACTGCATAGTTAAAGTTGGCAGGGAAGAAAAAAACTGTAGCATGAAGAAGGAAAAAGAGAAAACACAGAGATGCAGATATTGAGGCCTGTCTCTTCCCGGGAGCTTTGCATTTTGTAGTAATGGAATATGCATACATACAGTAAAATGGTCATCTCATCACACAGGTCCATGGATTTTTCACAAACGTGAATGAACGTTCCTGTTCGTGCACGGGGGAGAGGGTGTGCTTTCTCTCTGAATTGTTCCCATTTCAGTGCTTTGTTAACGTGGAGTTACAGTGGTGGTGATAGTAGCTAAGTGGTCACACTCCTACTGTGTGCGAGGCACTGCTCAGCACTCCTGCTGGTATCTCACTCCTCACAGTACCTCATAGAGAGGCAATATTGTCCATCATTTTCAAATGAGGAAACAAAAGTTTTAAAAGAGCTGTGATTTGGGCATTTTGCTGCCTTTTTCTGCGTGTTGGGCCACTTCGTAGTTACTGTCTCGTTGCATTCTCATGCCCTTCTGGAAGGTGTGTACAGGGGGCACGTCAGAAAGCTCAGAGCTGGGCAAACACAGGCCACAACCCCAAAGCCTGCAGCAAAACACAATGACAGCCAGGGGAGAGGGGGAAGGCAGGCATTGTTCAATACTCTAATCCCCAAACCTCACCAAAGAGAAGGGGGAAGAAGGAGATGAGCACAGAACGGGGCAGAAGTCTGCCTAATTCTTGGGGGCTAAGGGGATGCGCACTCAGCAAGATCCTTGACCCTTTCGTGATGGAAATTTTGAACTTTAAATCAGGAACTCCTGATTTTAAAAGGAATTTGAGGCTGAACATGATGGCACACACCTGTAGTCCTAGCACACTGGGAGGCTAAGGTGGGTGGGTTGCTTGAGCTCCTGAGATTGAGACCAGCCTGAGCAAGAGTGAGACCTCTTCTCTACTAAAAACAGAAAAATTAGCTGGGCGTGGTGGTACACACCCGTAGTCTAAGCTGCTTGGGAGGCTAAGGCAGGAGGATCACTTGAGCCTAGGATTTTGAGGTTCCTGTGAGCTGTGAGCCCAGGATGACAGCTTTCTCAAAAAAAAAAAAAAAAAAAAAGAATTCAAGCAGAGGTGCCTCTGTGCAGATACCCAGAAAGCTCTTTAAAGAACAGCAGAAGTGCTCAGGTCTGCGGTTCCTTCTCTGAATAACATCATCATGTCAGGTCAGAGTGGGGAGGCTCGGAGAGGTCTGCACACAAGCTCCTGCTCCTCAGAGGAGGCTGGCCTGGGGGAGACATCCCGTCCTGGGTGACCACAGGCCTCCCTCTCGGCTCCCTGTCCTTCCGGTCACATGTCCTGTCCTCCTCTTGGAGTCCTTGTGTAGAGCCTCTGGTCAATTTGCACAGGTTTCTGGGTTTTCTAGCATCTGAGTAACTTAATCCTGTGCAAAATATTTAAATTTCAGGCCACAAGTTATTACTAAAGTACAGTAAAGTTTTATATTTTTTGTTGGTAAAAAAACACCCATTAGTTACGATGCAGGGGCTCATACCTATAATCCTAGCACTGTGGGAGGCCGAGGTGGGTGGATTGTTTGAGCTCAGGAGTTTTGAGACCAACCTGAGCAAGAACAAGTCCAAGTCTCTAAAAATAGAAAAACTGGGCAGGCATGATGGCGGGCACCTATAGTTCCAAATCCTTGGGAGGCTGAGCCAGGAGGATTGCTTGAGCCTAGAAGTTTTAGGTTGCCATGAACTATGATGCCATGACACTCTTCCCAGAACAACAGAGACACCGTCTCAAAAAACAAACAAACAAAAAAGCATCCATTAGTCCTAGAATTGAAAAATAATGAAGAGTTGTGGAAATTATTAAGAAATATACAGCAGCGTTTTCCTTTATAATCTTGATCTCTTTCCTTGAGGATCTGTGTTCAGGTCCTCAGCATCCTCTTTGAGGACCTGCCCCTTCTTCTGCACTGCTGGCATGTTGTCAGTGACCCAGAAACATACTTTAGTTGTCAAAATGCTGGCATTGCCTCCCCAAATTAAGTGTTTACTTAACGTACCACCTGGATAGAGCTGCCCATTCAGCGTCAGCTCCAATGGTCAGCATCCGGCCCAAGTGGTATCTAAAGTCAAACCTGATACTGCCCAGACCAGACTCCAGGGCTGTGTAATACACCGAGGGACTCTCCTTCCGAGAGCTTGGTGGCTGGAAGGCAGGCCAGGGAGACTGCAGGTTTTCACATTACTCCTCCCTCCTCTCAGTGTGGCTGAAAGCGAGAATCACGCTGCTCCAGCTTCACCTGTGCTGTTAGTGTAGTGCGCTCCCCCGCAAATTGACTCTTAGGAGAACTGGAGAGTTTGTGTAGGGGCTTTGGCGTTGGAGTTGGGGAGAGGTTTGGTTACTGTAGGAGAGTGAAGCATTTCACAGGCTGCCTTGCTGAATTAGAGCTTCATCTTGGCCTTATAGTTTTACTGGACTCAGATTTACAAGGATTGAGGTTCATTAAGTCATTGAATGAATGTCATTTCTGTCTAATGGTGAGTAGCTTTTCCCATCCTCAACCTATTCTCTGTTGGAAGTGCCTTGGCAGGATCTGCTTCAGATGACTGAGGTTA